TGAATGTATATGTCACTCAAATATGAACGGAACGGGGACGTGTCATTGACAATGACTTGTTTTCTATATTTTACATTCAACTTTTCAAAAATCAATGAAAATAAAACGCTAAAAAGTCTTTTCAGTGAAAATTAATTCCAGCTAAAATAAAGTATTTTACAGTACAATGAATCAGATAAATTGTTTTCACTAGGTAACTATATCAGCTGACAGGCTGCTTGATTATTCGGCCTATCTTCACACTCAAATATTCCCTGTATCTATATCAGGCCTTTTATCCAATACTCTCAGCACATTGGAGCTCTTTCTAAACTTTCTTTGATTATTTTATCAGGTCACTGGTACAGCTAATGAAAGACAGCTGATAACTGCGTTGACTTTCTATAGCAATAGATGTCATTATGCACAGAAAACACTATTTCATTTATTTAGCCTCACACAGAACACTTTACTGTCGGACTATGCCATGATTAAAGTAAGTTTGTTATTATAAACACACTGTGACTCTGCTAATAAATGCAGAACTGAACTCGTCACATATTCACAAGGCTTGAATTACTAATTTTAAAAAGAACTATTTTTGTTTTTCTAGGCAATATTTGTAACTTTACGTAATTTCCCAACTCACCTTAACATTCAGATGGCAGGCAGGTAGGTTGACACGTTACCATGGTGATACTTTTTAATTTCTTTTAAATTAGTGTGGGAAAAGATGTTTTTATAAAATAAAAAAAATGTTTACTGATTTATTAGTGTAACTTACAGTGGTTATCTAAAATGGGAGAAATTTTTGTTCTTGTATTTTTATAATCCAGCAGACAATTCATTTTTAGTTGCTTCAGTTTAAGAATGTGCTTCTAATAGAACAAATATAATCACAACTTCACACGTATTGTTGATTGTATAATTTTCAGTTTATTAATGATTTTTTGTATTACCTTGTCTTCAGTGCAACCATGTTTAACTTAGTGAAAAGTTTTCATGATAGACTACATATCTCCATCCTGAGTCAGATTGTAGAGTTAGCGCTTGCTGCAATGAAGACATTTTTGTACAGTCAACAGGTATGTGGTTCCATTGTAGCTTGTATGTCTTATTTACCCCTTTGAGTGGCAATTATTTTCCTGCTCAAAATTCAATGCAAATATTTTCACTTTTCGTAAAATAATCACCAAATTTTGTCATCATTTTGGACAATACAGATAGTTTTTAGTTATTCCTTTTGGTTTTTTATCAAAATGTTTTGTAAATTTTAATCAACATTTTATGCGGGGAAAAGCAGACTATAAAAAACATTTTGTAGATGGCACTCAAATTGTTAGGGATGGATGTTTATAACTAATAACAATTGTAGAAATTTAAAAAGCATGTCAAATTTGTATACCGTGAAAGTTTTCATATTTATCCAGGTATAAGCCCAGGGTCCTGAACATGGAAAATTGCCAAAAAGAAGGGGTGGGCGTTTGCCAGGAGATCCCCGGCAAAAAAAACGAAAATTCGCGAAAATTGATAACACGCAGATCGAACTGCGGCAGGGAATAGAACGGCAAATGAAAACATGCAACAGAAATAAATAAACAATATGCAACATTAGAAGTAAAACAAAAATAATGTATTGCTTATAATGTGACAAATAAACCAGAAATAATAAAAATCGACAGTGAGGAATCATTTGAATTAGGATTTTCCCGCCGTCAAACACGCCCAATATGCGTGAACTCAAAATGAATTAAAATGTCAGGGGTTAAACTGCGTAAAATGATTTCCGGTCTCGACAAATTGCGAATCAACCCTCATACAAAATCAATAATAATTTACAAATTTACACAGTAAAAATTATAAAAATTCATAGCTGTTTGAAAAAACTTCTCAGA